GGACACTTTAAATGTATCCAATTGACGGGGCTAGTAGAAGGTTCATATCAATTTCACAGGCTGCAAGAAAACAAAAAGCATGTTTCAAACAAAACGACAGATATTTGTTTAGCAAACTGAGGAATATTTAAAGTCTCGTCTAAGGGACGAGCAGGGGACTAAGTCTAGGAACTGTATGAATGACTAGGAGCTGTACCTTTAAGTCCCCTGTCCTTTGCAGGCTTCTCATTAGCCGTGGGTTTGTCGGTGTGTTTGCTGCACAGGAGCAGCTGAATCCGTCCCAGAGTTTTGCATCCACCCATCCGGCTGACTGCCATTCTGAGCTGCAGTGGCAGCCCCTAATCTTCACACACCCCTGTAATTTTATCTTTCTCCCTGCTTTGGGCCACAAAGCACAAGCATCCCCCTGGATTTTCCTCGGCTCCACAGAGGCAGGCCTCCTTTCGACCAATCACCAGGCAGCCTTTTGGCCCAGGGTTTTTCTTTTGGGTGACGCTCTTGTTTGGGGGAGTTCTGCCCTGGTCGTCCAGCCCCCTCATCTCCTGGGCTCCCAGATGCCCAGGCTGCCTCAGCATGACCAGGAGGTCTGACACCAGGGCTTGCATTGTCCAGTCCCGGCGACCCTGCGACACAACAGGATCCCCCTGAGAATCTCCCAAGAATGCCTCCTGCTCTTGGGAGGCCCAATTGGATCATTTCCGAAAACAGTATGAGACAAAGTGGAGTGTGACTTTCATGCAGCTACCAGCACCACCAATGCCATTAGGTATAAATACAAAATGTGAGAAGTGTGCCTGGGCTGGGCAGAGAACTGGCTACATCCCAGAGAGAGCTCAATAGAGAGGGCCCCTAAATGATGGCCTTTACTTATGGGTGGGGCACAGCTAAGTAACCATTTAGCAGGAGCCTCTAGAGCTCAGTATCTGGCGACAGCCTGTCCTGCCTCCCAGCAAACTCAGGTCTGCTAGGGCAGCTAGTTGCTAAATCATGAAAATGAGGGAGAAAATGAGACTCCAGGGCCATATGGATTTGTCTCTCCCCCAACCCGTTACCCATATATCTCTCACCTCTAAAACAGTAATTGTATCAAAGCAGAAACTGTACTGTGTTCCTCTTGATCTCTTACAACCCCTGGCCCAGGCCCTTGTGTGGGATCAGACATGAATAAATGTCTGAGGGATTTACCGCAGCAGCTGATAGCAACCTTGAAGCCCATGAAGCTATGATATGATGACCTAGAGGTAGAGCACTGTGCACTAAGCACTCTTAGCCATATTCCAAGGTGACACAGGGGTTCTAAAGAGAACATGTGAGTATATTTATTTCTTAGGCATTATCCATCTCTATTTTTGAGAGAAAAGAGAAACCTTTTTTTTTTAAAAAAAAAGCCACATAAGAACTCGTCTTTCAGAAACTTGTGCTTTTCTCGTCTACTGTAGGAATATTAATAGCAAGCAAATACTATTTTAATGAAATCCTTCTATGCCCTTTGGAGACTAGCTTCCATAAGAATTAGCAGACTCAGAGGGACTATTTCTCCCACCCAGGCACAGAGACTCTGGAGCCCTCGCCCTCAACCTTGGCCCAGAAGACCCAAATAGTTAAGTCCTGGCTCCCTCTTCCTACCACTTTTCCAGCCATTATTGGCGATATGGAGGTGGGGTAGTGGTCATAGGAAACCACAGCCCAGAAAAGGGCTTTCCTAGGTCCTGCTCAACTGTATTACTCCTTCAGCCTCCCCTACTTGTTTCATACCTTGTTGGGGAGGAAAATGGAGCCTGGGTTGAGATCACCTCCCCAGGGAGGCATGGGCTGTTGCAGAAGGGGCTGGCAACAGATGGCACTTGCCAAGGTGGGAAGAGGCAGAGACTGGCAGCCTAGGAAAGAGGGGCCAGGGAGGATGGCAGGAGCTCTGAGTCCAGCCACATGGGAGAAGCAAATCTTTCACCTGAGTGTCCCTTCTGGCCTTTGGGGGTGGGTGGGGGTTAACCATTTAAAAAGATAAAAACGTGTTTAGGTGCACATTTTTTCTTTTGGCCTCGGGCTCCAATATGGTTTGCATAGAACTGTGGGATCCTGGGTTATTTTATTTTATTTTATTTATTTTATTTTATTTTATTTATTAGGATTCTGGTACTTTGTTCATTATGGCTTTTTAATCATTAGTTTTGATTTTTAAAAATACTGCATTAAAATATTATTTATCTCGATTATTGTGGGGGGTTGGCAACTTTTCTCCGTCCCCCCTTAAATTTTGTGCCCCAGTTAAGTGCCTCTCTCGCTCATCTTAATCCTGACCTGACAGTATCATACTTTCAGTTTTCTCATTAGGTCATAACTGAACAAGTCCAAAGGAAAGGAAATTGCAATAGGATAGCAGAAGCAAATGCAGTGTACTTGAAACTCCTACCAGCTTTTGGGTTTAAAACAGAGTAGCCCATGTGAGGGAGAAGTGGAGACAAACGTGAATTAGGAGCAAATGCCTTTAAAATATATATGTGTGTGTGTGTTTCCCCTGTAAACAGAAATGACTGCCTTCATCCATTCAACCTGAATTTAAACTTCCTACTGGTTGAATGCCATGCTAGGTCGTGGGGTTACAATGATGCGAAAGACTGAGAGTTAAGTCTGGTGAGAGAGACAAGCAGGGAACTGACCGAAATCCAATTCCACAAATATTTTAAATATGTGAATAAGTAGTTTGAAAGTACAAAGATGTAAGCAGAGGGGTTTGTGTTTGGTTTTCACTGGGAGTGTCTTATTTGTTATTCGTGGGGTTTTAATTTATGGAGATGACTGAGTGCTGACATGGCAAAGCCCGAGCGACTGAAAGACTTGTACCACTTACATTCCCCCCGAGAGGGGGCACAACATGCCACCAGGGCCAGGCGGGGCCACAGCAGAAGCATCAGGTCTGGTCAGGAGGCAGCGCAGGAGCAAGGGGAGAGTTCAGGCCAGAGCCTGCGCTGGGGTCTCCACTGGGAAGGCAGGGCAGAGCAGTCAGCTCAGCATGGGCCTGTTTGAACAGTAAACGGTGGGGTTGGGGTGTAGGGGTGCTCTCTAGTTGCCCAGTGCCTGGCCTGGGACGATTGCGAACAGGGGAAATGTTGTTAGCTTGGTGTGTGAGCCTTAGGTAAAGGGGTGGTTGCTTGTGCATGAGAGGAGCGCTCCCAGTAAGCCGCTCGCCACCTTTAGGAATTCGCTAGCCCTGGGAGGGCAGGCTGTTCCCAGGCAGCACCACTTTTAGGATGTCAGAATCATAAGACACAGAAAATAAACACGGTTAATACTGGCGGGGCACGGAGGGGTTATTAGTGTCGCACAGACATAAAGCATTACTGGTGTGGGGACGGGGAAACGGAGTGGGGAGGGTGGGGGGTCATTTCACTTTTCCAAATATTGGGAGGAAACTTTCTCCAGGATATGGACAACTTTGGAAAACTCAGTGACGCATGTACGTAGAGGCTTGAAAAATTAAAAATTTAAAAAAGTCAAAATTATTGACTATCTCGCTTCATTAGCACCCACGAGCCACCCTGGGGAGCGGCCGCCGGCGGAGTGGGGCATGCTCAGCTGCCCGCCCCAGGGAAGCAGGGGCCTCACGGGGGTCCCCAGGGCACCCGGCTGCCTCCGGAACAGCCAAGAAAAAGAACTCGGGTGAGACGCGCGCCGTGCTCTCCGGCTCACAGGCCGTGACCTCGCCCCGCGCCGCATCCCGCCCCGCCCTCGCGGCGCCGAGAGCAGACCTGGGCAAAAAGCAACACAAGCCCATTTGCTACAGACTGTGCTTTGCCCTAATCGGTGGAAAAAGAGCCGTGGCGACTAAGCGACCGCGGCTGACCTCAGATTCAGATCCTGGGCGCCTTTTTACTTGGGGCTGAAATGGCGCCTTCGCCCGTCGCGCGCCCCGTGTGGGAGGGGGCCCCGTCGGCGCCTCCGGCTGCTCCCCAACTCTGCTCCTGCTCAGCGGACATGGCTCGGAGCCGCCTAGCTCTGTGCAAGGGACCCGCGGGGAGAGGGAGGTGGAGGCGGGGGCACGAAGGGTTTCTAGGTCAGAAAACGAAGAGAGGCAATGGGTTTGGAGGCCAAGGGCGGAGAAGATGGAGCGTGAGATTTGGGGGGAGGCTTCGAGGATACCGGGTGTAAAATGTCTCATGAGGGACTGGAGGCTGAAGATTTTGGAACAAAGACTGAAAGAGGCCCGGGCGGGGCAAGTTTAGGGACCGGAACGGGAGGCGCTCCGGCGATCTTGGGGGTCGCACGTGGACACCCAGCGGAGATCACGCGTCGCGACGGAGCTGAGGAGTCGAGACGCAGAGCGCTCCTACTGCGCAGGCGCAAGGGCGGCGGGCGGAGCCTTTCCGGGAGCCGCCCCTCGGCCCGCCCTGTGGGCGGGGTTGGTCCGGCGGTTACATAATAACCTGTG